AGATGTCAGCCGTGCCGTGAATCCAGGAAATCTATGAAGTTCCTCGTCTCCTGGGTCTCTTGTGGATGGAGTTTAGTGTCACCTTCTCAAGTCTCAGCCCCCAAGGATATGTTTCTTTGGGGCAACGGAAGAATCCATCTGGTTGGCTTTTCTTGGCAACAGGTCCCTCTTGAGTGATCCTTTCCTTGGACAGTAGGGTTCCGAGGGTAGAGGGTGACATCCTCTGCATTCACGGGTTCCGTGCTGCTGCAGTTGGGCGCCCCCTTTAGGAAGGTCATGGGACTGCTGGCCACACTGAAGTTCACTGGAGATCACCAAGGGGTTAATGCAGGAAGGGCCATCTCAGCCCTGTCTTTCCTCACGGTCAGATTTTGGCCATCTGTGTGTCTGGCTCCCTGTCCCCAGAGCACCCAGTAAGTGCCTCATCATTGTTCATGACTCTGGGCCCCAGAGTCTGGGCTGTGAGAGAGCCAGGAGCGCAGGACAGAATTAATGGCTTTGTTTGGTAGTCTCGGATGAGGGATATGGGGGCAATGTCACAGAGCTTGATTTTGGGAAAGTGTTTGATACATCATCTCGTAAGATTGTGCTCACTGAATTAATTCCAGTGGTCAGGTGGCTTGGAAACTGGCCGCTGACCCAAGCAAAAGTCAGAGGCAGGTGATAATGGATCTTTTAGGGAGGAGGATCCAGGAAGAGGCTGCTGTGGGGCCCAGAGGCAGGATGGTTCTTAAGTAAACCCTTGTCTGATGAGCAAGATAACCAGCCCATCAATAACTGGCGACAGGTGAGTGCAGGTGAGGCGCTAGTTGGAAGGAAAATCAGGGGCAGTGAATTCTGAGTGGGTGGTAAGTCTGTTAAAGCCCTCTCAGCTTCCCCGTGTGCCCTGCGCCACGAGCATTTATAAATGCCCGTGTGGCCAGAGGCGTGCCCTGCTTGTCTCGTGGTGGCTGTATGTTTGCCTTACTTGTCTTTTGTGGATTCATTTGTCTCTGGGGCTGGATGCTTCTCTCTGGCGAGGTGCTGTGTGCAGTCGCACAGGCTGCTCACACTGCACTCCTCCAGGGACTTGTGCAGCACAGTGTCGCTGTCTCTGGCGACACCTGAGGGGTGTGTGTGTGTGTGTGTGTGTCTACCTGGGAATTTAGATGTCTGTGGGTTGCTTGCAAATGTCCCGGGGTGTGTCACGTGTTGCTCGTTGCTGGAGCCTTTGCATTAAGGCCACTCAGACCTCCTCAGCTTCGGACAGCAACCTCTGAGCCCCAGTTTCCTCATCTCTGCTGTGGAGATAATGGTGATACCCGCTTTGTACGGTTGCTGTAAATATTAAATACGGTCACGAGTGTAAAAGTGCTTAACACGGTACCTGGTGCTTAGTTAGCCCTTGGTGAAAGGTGGGTGTTGATCGTGGTGGCAGTGCAGGGAGGCGGAAAGGAGTGAGGACGGGAGAGGGGAGAGGAGCTGGTCTGTAGAGGGAGTAAGGGCAGGCTTTCCTTCCCACAAGAGAGGATGGTCTGTGTACCAGCGAGGCAGTGGGGGAGGAGGGGACTTTGTCCTCCTGGACAGAGCCTGTGACCACTGCAGTGGCCGCTCCATCTGGCCAAGGAACTGGAGGAATCTTGCTGGGTGTGGCAGGGGCAGGAGGAAGATGAAGCCAGGACGCCCCCCGGAGGAAGAGGAGCCCACCTCCCCCTTACGGAGTGTCCCGCCCCCTGCCCCCCAGTCCCATCCATCTTGTACTAAGGAGATAATACTGATTCTTATTCGTGATTTGCCCAGAATGCTTGGTATTTTCTATCTTTCCGAATCCAATTTTCTCATGACATTTCTGCCTGATGTAGCATAACATGACCTTTGTGAAGGGACATTGCTGGCAGCCTGCCCCCTGCCTCCGGCTCCCCACGAACCCCTTGTACTCTCCGTGGCTGGACCCCCTCGGGGATGGGCAGGGTCCCCACTTCATCCGGATTACTCCTGTCTCTTGCTTCTTGCTGGGGGTGGAGTGGCGATGGTGGGGGAGGGACAGACGGGGCATACTTCTGAGGGCTCTGTGACTCTGGGGTTCCTGGCTGCTGACTCTTACGGGGTGCTGCTCCATTTTAGAACTGGGGTTCTGTTCAAGGCTGTGCTGCAGGGAGGCCGAGACCTCATGGCAGGCGGGCCTTGCCTTTACTTTTGCTGCCGCTGTGTAGACAGTGAGCTGGGAGAACCACAAAACAAAACAGAAGACTCTGCCTGGATGCGTCACTCACATTTGCTGAAACATCGTAGAGGCTAATGGTAACAGGGACTCAGAGTGGCATTGACACCCGGTGTCCTTGACCCCGAGGTCTGAGCTCCGGGCGTGAAACCTACTGTAAAGTCAGCCTCTAGCCCACACAGCTTGGCGTGTGCATCTGATCCACGCTCCAGCCTCCTGAGCTGTGGGTCCCAGGGCGCTTTGCCCCAGTGTGTCCTCAAGTGGTCATTGTGCAGGTCCTCCTTTATCACCCGTTTCCTTCTGGTCAGCGCGGGTGCAGGAAGTCTGTAGGCACAAGCAGACTGCTGGTAGGGGTTTTGTGAAGGGGAGCATGTGGACAGGTCACGGTTGATGAGCTTTCAGTGAGTCACACGCATTAGAGCTCTACACCCCATGGGCAGGAGGCGGGCTGCGGGGCACCTACCCTAGACAGCGCCCTGTGGGCAGGAGGGCCCTGGAAGGACAGTGCTGGCTGCAGGGGGAGCAGAACAGGAAGCTTAGGGCCCCCTCCCTGCCTATGGCCCCCCTTTTTTTGTCTACCAGTCCCCTGCACCTGCAGAAACGGGGTTGCCTTTCTTAACATAGTCACAGGCTGTCACCAAGGGTAGGGCGGCCTCAGATGCAAAGGGGAAGCCGTGTCCCTCGGGTCCTTGTGTCTGTCATCTGTCCTTGTGAAAGGTGTGCATACTCTCTGTGATTTCACCAGCCTGGACTTCCCCCGTGACCTCTAGCCCCTGGCCAACAGGCTAGTTGATTTCTCTCCCTGGATGTCTAACAGGCATCTCCAACTCAGTGTTTGCAAGGGGAAGCTCTTGATCTGAACCCCACCCCCAGATATGACCCTTGCACAGCCTTCCTGGTCTTAACAAATAAGGCTGCTCGCCTTGTTGCTGGCGTCTTCCTGCCTCCTCTCCCAGACCCAATCCAATAGGAGGTCCTGGCGGCCCCTTCCCCCTCCCTTCCCCTCCTCCCAGTCCACCTGCTTCGTTATCTCTAATCCCCTTTCTCAATACAGAGACCTCCTAAGTGGTCTGCCACCTTCCAGCAGTCTTGTCTTTTACTTAAAAAAAAAAAAAAAAAAAAGGTAATTAGATTATGCCACTTCCCGACTTAAAGCCATCCACTGCCTTCTCATTGGTTTTTAAAATAAAATCCAAGGTCTTCACTACGGCAGCAAAGGTGGGTGTGGCTCTTTCCTCTTCTCCCTTACCCCCAACCACTCTCCCCTGCGTTCTTCCCCACTGGCCTCCTCCCTGCCTTTGCTCTTCTTGGCGTCCACTGCCCAGAACAGCCCAAGCCTGGCACTGGTTCCTTCTCACTCTGGGCTCAGCTTGCTGTTACCCTCTCAGAGAACACCTCTCTAAGCTCCTGCGTAAAGGAGCCGTCTCCCTCTTCCACGTCGGTAATGCCATCACCTTGTCCCCTTCCTTCTTTTCATGGCAAACAGCAGCTCTCTTGCTTACTCCCTTATAACTTGAATAAAAATGTCAGGGGTTCCTTCTGTCTCGTCCACCCCTCATTCCTCACTGTAGCCTGTATTTGGTTCTCCCCAAGTATCTGTTATAGAAATCACCTAAATAGGGGTGTGCATGTGTAAGCATATGTGTGCATATGCTTATGTGAATAAACGAGAGTGTGCATTTGCATTTGCTACCTGTGTGTTTAATGGATGCCAGTACACACATGCTTGTGTGTGTGCGGGTCGGTAATTACCTACGTGGCATCCTTACAGCCATCCGTGCTCATCAGTACGTGAGTATGTTGTTCCTGGGGTCCACTTCAGTTCTAGCAGTGTTTGACTGCTGCCTTTAAGGGCTGCTACCACATCAGAAGCTGTTTGTCGAGCCTGGCAAAGTGATAACCGTGGGCGTGTTTCTTCTATTATTTGGAACGCTAATGGCTACTCCTTTCCCCTGTACATCCTAATGAGAACAATTAAATAGCCATTAGGAGGAGAACAGAAGTGTGAACAAAAGGCTGATGTCTTGATCACTGATGGACCTCTTTGCTGGGGGAGAGACTGGGTAGAAGAAATTGTAGGTGACCTGCAGAGGTTTTTTTCCACTATCATGAATGTTAAGAATGCTTGTTGGTAAAAGGGTATATAGTTTCAATGATGTGAGATGAGTAAGTCAGTCCTAGATATGCTATGGTACAGCATAGTCCATTAATGATACCATATTGTATACCTAAAAAACTTGTTAAGAGGATGTATCTTATATTAATACTTATTGCAAAAAAAAAAAATAAATGAGAGAGAGAGAGTAGGATACTTTTAGAGTTGCTGGTTAAGTTTATGGCGTCGTTTATGGTCACAGTTTCACGGGTATATACTTATCTTGAAGTATACAATGTATACATTAAATATGCACCGTTGTTTTTATATCCGTGACACTTCAGTAACAGAAATGAAAAAGAATGCTAGTTGGCTTGTGTACCCTGAGAGGTCTCTGTCCTCCTGGAGGAGGGTGGCTTCCAGAAGGTTCCTTCCCTGAACCCTTATTATAGTGTGAGGATGTGGGGAAATGACCACGATTTTTTTTTTTTTTTTTTTACATTTGTAAAATCTCTCCCTTTCTTCGAAATCTTCTGCAAACCTAATCTGTGGCCTTGACTACTGGCAGGCATATATTGTTAGCAGAATGGAGCCAAGGAGAACAACAACACAGCCAGGCTCCCGTGAAATAACCAAGCTTACTACCATGGGCATTACTTACGCAGGTCTGTCCCTTAATTTCCCCTTTATTTGTCATTCTTGCAGAAACCTGTCGAGTAACCGGCTTACCACACTCTCATGGCAGCTCTTCCAGACGCTGAGTCTTCGGGAATTGTAAGTTTGGTCTTGAAGACCATGCACGTAGTAGGCTGGGTGGGGAGACGTGTTGGGCAGTGGAGCCACCTGAGGTTGGGTGTGCGCTCGAAGGGGCTTCTCAGCGTGGGTGACACAGAGTATACCATGTTCAGTGAGAGAGAGCCACCCTGTCGTTTGATTTCTGAGGCTCTTTTTGGCACAGTACATTTCAGAAGAAGACACGAATCTTACCTCTGAGCAGGGCACAGTTTTGTTATCTGTAGGTAACTGGTAATAATAGCGTTGACATTTATAATACTAAAGTGTATTTATGAATTTATAATAAATCACATTGATAATACACGGTTTTGTAGATTATTAGGTGTGCTTTCATTTATGTGACTTTAGATTTATCATCATGAACATGGGATATCTCCAATAAAACATGTATTTTTTCATTTTAAGGTGAGGGTTCTGAGCCCCCAAAAGGCATGTGAGACACAGCCAAGATTGCATTATTAGGGATTGGCCAACTCAGGACTTGAACCCAGGCCTCTGGCTTCAGACCACACGTCCTGTCCATCACTCATAATCTTTTGTCAGCCTGTTTGTCTTGAGTATGGGCATCTTGATGGTGGGGATGGTGGGAGGCAAGTCCATGTATTTATTTAATCTGCCTGTGGACTTCTTGGCCTTGGTGCCTTCCAAGCCTCATGGATTCAGCCCTATCCCCTCCAGCCATTTTGTACAAACCCATGTTGGATGGATGAGTGAAAATTCCTGACCACTGCTGGAAAAAATAACTCCTGTGGATGTGTGAGTCATCAGGGCCACCTCTGTGCATGAAGGACAGCATATTATGTCGGGGGAACAAATCAAGGAATAAATTGGAAAGGAATTAAGGCGTGGATGAAATTAGGGAGTCAGGGTTCCAGAGACACTGCTCACGTGTTCCCTTTTACTTAGTGACTCAAATCCAAATCACTGAATAGAGATTGCTTAGTATCTTTACCAAGAGGCAGTGGCCTTGGGTCTCTGCCCATAGGTTGGCCTTTCAACCTATCCTCCCCCTACCTGGGAACACCTGAGTTCATGGTTGAGTCATAATCTTAGCTTTTCCAACCAAGTTGGTCAGGAGGGGAATATTTATATCCAGTGACCCAGTAAGCCCATTACCCCGGGAGGGCCTTGTATATCCTACTTATCCTATGGACCTGAGTGCCTGTGCTTCTTCAAAGGCCATTTCGGGTCAGGGAATACAGAGGTGATCTCTTCGACAGTATTGTAGACTTTAGAGAATACTGCTAGGTTAGTACTGCCTTTCTTAGGATTTTGTCCCTTCCTCTGGGCTACTTGTCTGGCCTGGGCATAGTAGACATAGCAATCAACAATTCTCAGGTCATGTAGGGCTGAGATCTTGATGTACACCAATTAAAAACTACCTGAGCTTGGAAAAAGGTAAATATATATTTATTTGTTTATATAACACTGAAAAATTAGACGATGTCACAGACAGCTAAATGCCAGACCATTAGACTTGATGCATTGTATTTATTTCCATCTTTGTAGGTGGAAAAAACCTTAGTGGTAAATGAACATGACTGCTAAGGTCACTGCCAACAGCGATTTCTGAGATCTAACTCTGTGCCAGGCACTGGGCCAAGCAATCTCTCGAATTATGTACGTTGTTTAATTCTTGTAATAATTTATCAGGTAGGAATTAGTACTGTCACTTCACATTTGGGGACACTGAGGTACTCAGCAAGGTTAAGTATCATGTTTTGGGTTACCCATTAACCAAGTGGTAGTGTATGGACTCAAGGTCTTGACCGCTATGCTTAGCTGTCTCCCAGGCTCTTAAAATCTCTTCCTAATTCAAGGATAGGTTCTGTGATAATTTTCAAAAAGTGCGTGATTGCAGTTCTTTCTGACGTTGCCCTAGTACTGATCAGGGACTCTGTCATAAGGAGCTAATTGGGGGCTCTCTTTCTTGGGAGTCTCCTGTCTGGTTCTCCTGGAATGCCTGCGCCTTCCTCTGTAGGAGGCGAGGGACAGTATCTCTCTGGGGGACATCTGGGGTCTGCAGTTGGCTGAATTATTGAGAAAACGTTCAGTGCTCCTTCTGAAAAATCATTGGATGCGAAATCAATGGTGACCTGTTTCGTGGAGTTTTAGAAACAGTTGTTCCGTGGATATATATTTAAAGAAAATGTCAGATTTATCCCAGAGGATCATGGGATTCTGCATTCATCTTTGCCTGGGATCAATACACCAGTGAGCTAGATGTGACTTATGGAGGAATGAAGACGTTCCCTCCAGTGTGAGTCAGTGTGTGAGAGCCACCATATCCAAGAGTATTTTATTTCTGTCATATTGTTAAATAAGAAAAAAATTACATTGGAAAATAAAGAAGCCCCCCTCCAAGGAGCAATCACCCTGGTAGGGGTCTATTTTTGAGGAAGAATTGAATGTTGAGAGTGGAAAATTTATCTTTTGGATGGAGGGGCCTCATGTTGGCTCTTAGCTGTGGCTATGATTAAAATCCAAACAATCTCAGTTCCTGGCAAATGGAAGAGGGGGTAATATTTTCTTGTCCGACTTCCTGATTAGTCCACATGGCGCCATCTGCCACGAGCCTTCTAGACTGCCAGGGTCTGCCCAGTGGAGCCTGTGGACTGGGGTGTGGGGATGGGTTGGGTATTTCCAGGAAGAAAGAATCTTGGCCCTGGAGGAGAGAGGCCGAGGGGAGACGGCTCTCCGTGCCGTGGCAGCCGGAAGATTACAAAGCCAGAAGTGTGCGGCTTTGAGCCACCTTCTGCAGGAAGAGAAAGGGTAAACTAGGGCGTGCAGTGATTTCTCAGCACATTTCATTCTGCCATTGAGCATGTCTGCCTACCCCAACCAGACCCTCTCCCACTAGAAGATCCTTGATAGGAGAAAGCATGCTGTTGGGATTCTTCATTGGAAAGACTGAGTGTCTTTGACCTTTCCAGTAGTAGAGGAGGAGACGAAAATGCTATATATTGAGCACCTGTTATGAACAAAGTCCTGTCTCATCCTTGGAGCAACCCCGCATGGGAGGTATCATTATAACCAGTTTTGCAAATGAGGGGTTGAGGCTCGGCCAAGTTAAACAACTGGTCCAAGATCACAGAGCTCAAGAGTGGTCATGGGAATTGGGATTATGGGAATTAGCATTACCACCATCCAGGTCTGCTGTTTTCAAAGACCAGTGCTCTTTCCTTAAACAACTCAGCAATGCCCCCTCCCCCCACCCCTTCCTACCCCCATACTTACCTGTCTCCTTCTGGAAATCACTCTCAAGATGGTGGCTTCCCTAGTGATATCACCAGGGGAAAAAAACCCAGACAAGTTAGCATCTCAGAGCCCTTGTCATGTGCTGGAGGCTTCCTTTACTCATTTCTCACTTACTCTTGTCAGATGAAGACCATACCCATGAAGGGTATGGTCTTGGCCTGGCCCATTGCCCCTGACAAGTCCAGACTGTGTTTATCTTATTGGGAGAACTGGAAACATCTCTCAGGACTCCCTTTGGAGTCCTCAGCCCTGTTTCAATGGCACGAGTTTGCAGAAATTTGAGTTGATGGTGCACAGTTGCTCTGAGAAGTTTCTGGCTATATCAAGATGGTGTTTTTTTTTCCTTACAGAGAAGACTGGAACTGTCTGTCCAGAAACCAGAGCAAGAATCAAAAGAGATTGTCTTAGAGATAAAGAATGAACTAGAAAGAAAAGAAGCTTGGATTCTGAATCCCATGACACAATTTAGGCAAAGGCAAGAGGCACCAGAGGATATAAACCCACAGCACGGAAACCTTCCAGAAATACCCTAAGGACCATTAGTGTATCTTGAACAGGCTTCTCTTAATACCCTGCATGCACAGAGCAGTCATGATTAAAACAGATTGGAGTATTTCATTTTCTTAAAGCAAAATGATATTACCTCTGGTATAATTTGCAGATTTAATTGACTTGGTAAAATATTAACTCAGTGTGGGGGTGGGTTTGGGCTGATCCTGGCACTTTCTTTCTCCCAGACTTGGGCATGATCGCTTTCCATAACTCTCAGAGCAGTCCCTGAGTGATCATGTGAATGGTAGAGTTACTGTAATAATAATTTCTGGCCTCTTTCTAGCCTCTTTTGGTTCACAAAGCACATTAACGTGTGTTATCACGAATCCTCATCACTTTGTGAAGAAGGAGGGTCGAGCGCAATTACCCCCGTTTTATAGACGTTGAAGGAGAGTCTTGGAAAAGCAAGTTACTTGCCATATTCATTTCCTAGGGTTGCCTTAAACCACCACAAATTTGGAGGCTTAAAACAATAGAAAGTGACTCTTTACTCCTCTGGGGGTCAGAAGGCCAAAGCTAAGGCTTCACAGGCCCCCTCTCCCTTCAGGGGCTCTCAGGAGAAATCCTTGCTCATCTTTTCTGTCTTCTCGTGGCTCTGTGGCTCCTGGTGTTCCGTGGTTTGTGTCAGTGTCACTCTAGTCTGTGACTCCCATCTTCATGTGGCTGTGCTCCCTGTCTCTCTGTCTGTGGTCTCTCCTCTTCTAAGGACACCCAAGTCATTGGATATAGGGGCCCACCCTAAATCCAGAATGATCCTGTCTCATGACCATGCCATGATCCTTAACTTGATCATATCCTGAAAGACTCCATTTCCAAATAAGGTCACATTCGTGGGTCTTGGGGGTTAGGACTTGAACAGATCTTTGCGGGGGGGCAGGGGTTGGGAGAGACACAGTTCAGTGCACTGTCTTTGCCCAAGGTGACAGCCGGCTCAACCCAGATCTTTTGTGTACTTCTGCCATTGTGTTACCTCTAGGAGGCCAGCGATGATCACTTGGCCCTCTGGACGTGCTTCCCTCAATGACAGCAGGTCTGTGTCCCTTCTACATTTTCTCCTGCTGGCCCCAGATTGCCACTGGCAGCACTGTGGCGGGGAGAAGAAAGCCAGAGTGATGACTGGAGGGAGGGGAATCAGTGTTTTCTAAACACCCTGTCGTGCCCTTAGTCCTGCAGTGGGGTGTCTGTGTGTGCGTGCTTGGATGGATGGGGCTGAGTTAATCGGTGGGAATCCCCTAGGGCCCTGCAATGGCAAGATGGCTCCAGGCCATCTTGGGGCCAGGGCTGGGTGTTGGTAAGCTTTGCCCTGGAGCAGCTGTTGCTGTATTATTCATGGGGCCATCTGCATTGTTGATGGGGCAGGGAAAGCCTTACTTCAGGATCCTTGAGACAGCCCTTGAAGCCGGGGCTGAGGGCCCCTCATTGAGAGACCTGACCGCTGGGACAACTGACAGCATCATGTAGATTGAGGGCTGCCTTTCTTTGCTTGTGGCCCATCTCCCCGAGTCAGGGTGCGAAGACTATGGTCCGTTCGCTCCGAGGATGCCCAGGGCACCCCTGTTGAGAGACTCGGCGTGCTTTCTGTTGTGTGTGTGCGTCTCGCCCTCTAGGAGGAAAGTCCTGAGGGATAGGGGAAAACTTGAGGTTTATTTGGCAGTTTCCAGGAGACTGTGGAATGGAGGGTGGGCCAGGTGTCATGGCACATCCTTTCTATTGGACCATGTTCTAGAGGAAAGGGATGGAAGGAAACAAAAAGCCAGTGTGCTTATCCGTGGCAATGTCAGCCCACTTAATTCTCCCACCAGCCTCAGGACACTTTGGTGCTGTCGGCCCTTTGGCGGGGGGAGGGGGGGTCACTGAGAAGTCGGGGTACTCAGCAGAGCAGGGCTGGGGTGAGGCAGGACTGAATGAAGCACGTGGGGCTCGAAGCAACCCAGCCCAGCCCCTTGCTTGCTAATCTTTTCCACCCAGGTGGATAATTTGTATTTTTACAACTACTTCATAATGAATGACCACATCTTGTCAAGTGAGCATCTGGGAAAAACCAGGCTGACCTGGTTCAGTTTGCATATATGCAAGCGTCTGGACCCTGGCTACCATTCCAGGCCCGTCCACACCTCCCCTGCGACACGAATACAAACGCTGCTCCGCATCCTTAGGCCTTCTTGCCCTCCACGTGCTGGGCAGCCATTCTGACCTTCTGCTTTTCCCAAGGAAGCCGTCACACACCTGTTGCCCCTGCTTGCTCCTTGCCGTGAGGGTTAAACGGGGGTGATGCATGTGGAGTGTTGAGCGTGGTGGCGGGCACGTGCTAAGTGTGACGCAAATGTTTCTCCATTTTTCTTTCTCAGCTCTTGTTTTCTCTTGCCCACTTGTCTTCTTTCCTCTCAATCCGTTGTCTCGGCCACGGTGACCTCTAGCCTTAATGCCAAGGCGGACAACCTCCAAGGTCTGGACCTCACCCTTCACTTTGCTCCTCTAGGACCTCATCCCGATTCCTAGTACATTGAACCTCTTTCTTTCCACTGGTTCCTTCTCTTCTGTTTTCAACTAAAGACCTTCTCTTTGATTTCCTGTCTCCTGGAGCTTCAGACCTTGGTGTCAACCTCCACTCATTCCCTGTGCCTCCAGCAAAGCCTCAAATACCACCTTGTCTTCCTTTAAGGTGCCTGTTTAATCCCCTCCGCCCCTCCCCCACTCTTACCAGTCTACTCTGGGCCCTTATTAACCAGGCAGCAGCTCTCAAATGGGGGTCCGGGGTTCCCGCAGGGGTCCCTAAGACCCTCTCAGGGGGACCACGAGGTGGAATCTGACATGTCCTTTGCCTTCGTCACTTCCATTCTCCTGTGGGGGTGCCGTGGACTTTTCCAGAGGTCACGTGCCATGTGATAACATCATTGCCCTGATGACCAAGGGAGTTTGTGCTAATGGCAGTGTCTTGTTTTAAAATTTTCTGTTTGCATTCCAAAATGGGAAATAGTGAAAGATATAATCTACACATGCAAAAACTCTTTGAGGCTCTCAGTAATTCTTTTTAGAAGTTTATTCATTTATTTTTGAGAGCGAGAGAGTGAGCATGGGAGTGGCAGAGAGAGAGGGAGAGAGAGAGAATCCCAAGGAGGCACCTTGCTGCCAGCCCAGAGCCCGGTGCAGGGCTCTGATTTGCAAACGGTGAGATCATGACCTGAGCCAAAATCAAGGGTCGGATGCTCAATCGACTGAGCCCCCTCGGTAATTTTTAGGAGTAAAAAGGAGTTCTGAGACCAAAAAGGTTGAGAACCTTGGCATCGAGCCTGGTGGCCTCCACGTGTCCACGCGTGAATGAGGAGAAGAAGTCCCGTCTGGGTGCACAGAGCCTCACGCCAGGTGCTGGGTCTCATCAAGGTGTGCAGACTGGATTTAATCTCCCATTCATCCCTTTATCCTTTTGCTTGGGTGCTTTGAGAAGTGCACGGACTCCCTGACTACACGGTGACCCCATGTTTGGAAAACGCCCCGACCAGTGTGCCACCCCAGCTCTCCTCTTCCCCAGTTTATCCTGCACAGACCGGCTTTGCAGCTCCAAGGGTCTCACTGGTTCCCACTGCCCCCTGGATGAATTCCAGACTTCTCAATGTTCAGTGTGGCAGCGAGAGTCCTGCACCATCTGGCCTCTACTCCCCCTTGCAGCTTTATTTCCCAGTGCCTCTCGACATGAACTCTGTGCCCTGGCGCGACCTTTCTTTCCTGCGTTCCCATCTCAGCCTCCAGCATCGCCTTGAACTCTTCCCCGGGTCTCTGCCCAGGAGCCACGAAGTCAGGGGTGGTGCTGGCTCCTCTGTGTCTCCCGTCACACCCAGAAGCACCTCGTAGTTGATAGGTGGGGTGGAGAGTGCACGGGGCTTGGAGTCAGCGGGCTGAGGTATGGAGCCTTGCTTTGTTGCACACCAGCCGAGGGACTTCGAGCATGTGACTCACCCCTCCAAACATAAGAGGAGCTCCCTCGTCTGTAGGGGGACAGTGCCGGCCGTCTCCTAGGGTGGCTGTGGGAAGCAGATACTCAGTGAAGGTTAGGTCCCTTCTTCTTTTCTGAAAGAGAGCAGCGTACTTTCAGACCAAAGGGAAATCATGCAAAGGTGTTGCCATGTTCTACCTGTGGTGTCCCACTGGCTGGGAAACACGGATTCCTCCCCCGGGGCCTCACTTCTTCCTGAAAGCCGATCAATTTGGATGCATGCTTAATTACTTCGGGATTCTGCCACTTGTCCAAAATATCCTGGTTACCCAAGAGCCCTTCTGTCTGGGCACCAGCGGATTTATCTTCTTACTGGTCCAGAAAGAGAATCACATCCCTCTTACCGATCCAGGCATTCAGATTTATCAGATGCCCTTTACTTGAAGAGTCTTATATCAGTGAAAGCCATTCATTGTCCCCCTAATGAGATAACTCCATTTAGAGGGGCGGGGACTTGCTCTAAGTCACATGGAAAGTCAGTGGAGAAGGAAGGCCTTGAACTTGACTCTTTCCCCGTCAGACGCTCTTCTTTACTAAGCTGAGTGCCGCTGGAGAACAGAGACTGTCTTCTTCACCTCTGTATCAACAGCACTCAGCCCACAGCCAAGCATGGAACAGGGGCTTAGTAAGGATTTTGTTGAATTTATGAAAGAATAAAGCTGGTCCCAGGATGGGCTTTGAGCATATCTTAGAAATAGCTAACTACTTACTCCCCAGGGAGAGTAACCCTTTCCTTCCTCCTTCCTTCCTTCCCTCCCTCCCCTTTCCTTCTTTTGTTCTTTCAATGGGTATTTATTTGCCAAGCTCAGTTATAGGTACTGGTGATACAGCAATGAACCAAATAGGCAATGTCTCTGACTTCCATGGAGGTTAATTTTTGTTTGGTGAGACAGGTGATAAACAAGCAAATAATTTTTCAAAGTGATGCTGGGCAGTGACAAATCCTCAAAAGAAGAGAATAGTTGGGGGTGGGGAGGACTGGACAGCGTGAGGGCAGGGGTTAGCAGTAGCTTACCTGTAGGAGTGATCAGAGGAGGCCATATGATTCTTTAATGAAGTGAGAGAGCCAATCTAGCAGATACGTTATGGGTTAGAACTCTGCAGGTAGAAGGAACAACGTGTGCAAAGGCCCTGAGGCAAGAGCAGGCTGGTCATGCTAGTGACCTTGTCAGACAGCAAGGTCAGTGTGACTGAAGAAGAGGAAAGGAGCGTGAGGTAGGAGATGGGATCAGAGAGGTGATGGAGAGCACTGTGTACCCCGTGGACCTTTGACTTTGGCTTTCAATGAGATGGGAAGCTGCTGGAGGCGTTTTGAGAACAGGAACATCCCAAGCTGACATATTTAAAAGGGTCTCATTGCCAAGGTAGGTTAAGTGGAGTGGATTTCTGTTTTTCAGACGAGTTTATTAGTTAAAAAACTAGATAAATTCATGGACTTGTAAGTATTTTTTAATTTTTCTCAAGAGCTGGCTAAACCCCTCCTCTGCTTCGTCCCTGAAGAGCAGGTGGGGGCCTCCCTCGCAGCCCCGGGGAGGGAGCTGGGCCATCTTCGGTTCAGGAGGTCCCTTCCCCTGTCATCTTGCCCACAGGAGGTTGGAGCAGAACTTCTTCAACTGCAGCTGTGACATCCGCTGGATGCAACTGTGGCAGGAGCAGGGGGAGGCCAAGCTCAGCAGCCAGCACCTCTACTGCATCAACGCGGACGGCTCCCAGCTGCCCCTCTTCCGCATGAACATCAGCCAGTGTGGTGAGTGAGCCGCCTGGCACCGCGCTCCGGGGAGGCATCCCTCACACCCCAGACACGGCCCTGCGCAGTAGCCTGGAGAGCCAGGGCCTTTTCCCCACCGGCCTGGAACTCTGCACGGGGTGCAGGTCTAGCTTACCGTTTACCTCCTTGGTCATTCCTGTTCCTTCGTGAGCCAGGCGTGAGAAGGCTGGTTTCAGGAATGAAGACAGGGGTTAAGGGTGTCCCTTGTCAATGGACCACAGTTGACCAGCTTGTCAACCAGACCCGGAGGAGTATGTCTCAAAGCATGGTTTCTAGACCTTTCTGTATCAGGAGAATCTCAGGTACCTCACAAAAGCAGGTTCCCGGGCTCCACAGACTTACAAGATCCCAGAATGTCTCAGGATGGGTCTCGGGAATCTGAATTCCTAGCAAACTCCTTGTGGGAGTCCGAAGCAGACTAAAGCTTGACAAGCAGTGCCCAAAGTGGAAGACGCCGTTTGACATCATTGCTGGAGCTGCCCCACCCCCACCCACGAGGTCTGACATCTGCCCAGGAGGTGCAGGGACTTGTGGCCTTCCCGGAGCTCCAGCAGCTGGTGCCAAAAGTGCCAGCGTCCAGACCAGGGACGAAGTTTTGGTGTCAAGTGTTCACTTACCTTTCCCCTCATCCTGTCCTCCCTCCCAGACCTTCCTGAGATCAGCGTGAGCCACGTCAACCTGACCGTACGAGAGGGTGACAATGCCGTCATCACTTGTAATGGCTCTGGATCACCGCTGCCTGACGTAGACTGGATAGTCACTGGCCTGCAGTCCATCAACACCCACCAGGTAGGCGTCCGAGGCTCCGGCCCCATCGGGAGGCTGGGGAGGGAGCCCTCGCCCGAGTCTAAATGAGCTAGACCATGAATAGAAGCAGGGCATGGGAGGATAAGGAAGGGGAAGGAGAGTTCGTGCAGACTTCATTTTCACCCAGCTGCAGTCTTTTCTTGCCAGCTTGATCTTAAACATGCCAGTAAGTTTCTCTGTACCTTAGTTTTCTCATCTGTAAAATGGGTAGAGGCTGCCATTCACCTTCTAGGGTAAATGGGAGGGTTTCCTGAGCTCTTGGCTATAGAGAGCCTGGCCCTTGGTGCGCACAGCAGCAGGAAACGCCTCCTTCACTTGCTGCACTGCTTTCTTTTTGATCCCTGAAGGTGTTTGGGAGTTGGGGGGGGGAGTCACTTTGTAGAAACCGATTCCTTCTTTTTGTTGGGGTTTCAGACCAATCTGAACTGGACCAATGTGCACGCCATCAACCTGACCCTGGTGAACGTGACAAGTGAGGACAACGGCTTCACCCTGACGTGCATCGCGGAGAACGTGGTGGGCATGAGCAATGCCAGCGTCGCCCTCACCGTGCACTGTGAGTGGCTGCCGTTAAGGGGGTGGCTGTGCACCGAGGTGATGGCAGTGTGGGAGGCAGGGCAGGTGTTTGAGGAGTTAGTCCTGGGCTGGTAACTCCAGAAAGGCTGTCCCTGTCCCCCAGGAGGTGGCATGCTTCCACCTCATCTATGTTTCAGAATACCCCACAGTTGACCCAAGTCTGCCTTCTGTTACCCCCTAGAAGGAGCCTTCCAGGTGCGCTGGACCCGGGAGGCTCGGGTAAAGACGGCCATCCCTTCCCCCTCCTTGGGGACGGTGGTGGGGAAACCGCTTGTCCCCCCAGTCTTTTCACAGCTGGCCGGGGAAGAACTGGGATTCCCATCCCAATTTCTGGAAGGCTGCCCTGGGACGCGGGAGACTCTGAGTCCTGGGAGTCAGCTGGCGTATCCCCCGCAGACCCTCCGCGCGTGGTGAGCCTGGAGGAGCCCGAGCTGCGCCTGGAGCACTGCATCGAGTTCGTGGTGCGTGGCAACCCACCGCCCACGCTGCACTGGCTGCACAACGGGCAGCCGCTGCGTGAGTCCAAGATCACCCACGTGGAGTACTACCAGGAGGGCGAGGTGTCCGAGGGCTGCCTGCTCTTCAACAAGCCCACCCACTACAACAACGGCAACTACACCCTTATCGCCAAAAACCCACTGGGCACGGCCAACCAGACCATCAATGGCCACTTCCTCAAGGAGCCCTTCCCAGGTGAGGGCGGCGTGGCCTTCCGGTGCTCGGATTCCTTCCGGGAGCATGCGGGGCGGGGCAGTGGTAGAGAGAAGGCACAGCGTCAGCCTCCATACCGCCACCTCCAGTCACAGACTCACCCGGGGGCGTGTTCAGCCCCCACCAGCATTTTGAGTAAATCAGGTAAAGCTGCTGTTTTTCATCAGGCGTCGCAGTGAAAAGCCAGACCCTCTCGGGAGTGTGCAGCTGTGTGCATATGGACGTGCCCCTTTATGGTAGAGAGAGGGACTGAGAGCTAGACAAGAAAGACAGAGAATCTCGACCCAGCCCTTTATGGGTTGTGAAATTCTGGGCGAGATGGTTTGCTTTGCTGAGCCTCAGTTCCTTCATCTGTGCAATGGGCATGACGATACCACTCCTATAAGAATCGCAGGCCTCTTAAATGACTTAAGGTGTGCAAAGCGCGTGCCACAGGCTTTGGCACCTAATGATGGTTCGACGACCTTCTATTGCAGTGGTTTCAGAGTCTGTCCAGTTTCCTTCTACTTGCTGGTTAGTAGCAAGGCTTGGCGAGAGTGTAGGCTTCCAGCTCTGAGCTTTCTCTCCCATTCTGTGGTGACCTAGTGGGGTGGGGGTGTGTGTGTGTGGGGTGTGGTACCTGAGGTCATCAGCCAGCGGTGGTGCTAATGCTGAGTGGACCTTTGAGTACTGAAGGAACTTTATGGTTTGACTGTTTGGGAGGTGACTGTCTTTCTCTGCCTGGGCTACAGTATTTCGAATACCTTCCTAAGTCGGAGGAGCAGAAAACACCCAAAGAGTTTAGTGCACGTGTGGGTAGCCTCTCTCGGTGGGTTCAGCAGTTGATGGCTTTCCGTCAGTGAAACCCGGGATCTTTGATGACCTTGGTGATTTCTGCTGGGAACAGGCTGGATGACCTTCAGTCTCCAGATCTCAGGGGTTCTGCTGAGGTTAAGGGGAGTGTGAAGACTGGTCTCAGGTGCGCGTGCACACCCCCCCTCCCCCCGCCCCCCCTCACACACGGGGCAGCCAGAGCCAGCACTGTGCCACATCTGCTTACGTGCAGGTGACTTCAGAGCCCGCACATAACAGAGGCCGCAGCTCCAGGAGATCCTGTGTATCTCAGTGCAAGGAGAACCCAACTGGAGGCTCCAACAGTGAAACTCCAGAGAATGAGGCTGCGTGGGAGGCCCCATTCTTGCCACTGAGGCCCGGGGGGAGGAGGGTGGTGCACGGTCGCTCAGGAGAGGGTCTAGAACGCTCTGGTGTTTAAGACCCTGGCATTCCTGTTTGGTCCGGCATTTCCAGCACCGCCCCCAGCATGCCCAGCCGAAAGCTTCGGGACTTTTCCCACCGTGGGCCACGCCATCCCTGCTTTGGGAGCTGGAAGAGTCCCGGGGGCACTGTGGAAGCAGCAGCTTTTAGCTGCAGAGATACTTTGCTCTTAGGGGCATATAGTCAGTCCAGGCCTTGCTGGTGTGAGGGGCTAGAGAGGCCCTTTTGCCCTGCCTCTGTCTGCCTAGTGATGAGAGAATGAATTCTAGTTTTTAAAGAGGAGACTGTATGCTCCCTGATGGGCAAGGAATGAAGTCCCCTGAGGCAGCATGTTTCCAAAGGGAAGCTCCTGGGGCCTGGAGAGAGCAGGGAGCCCTTGAATACTCAGGAGGGAGGGTGAGTCACTCTGGGCTCCTCCCCACAGAGGCTGCCCTGAGAACCGTTCTCTGTATCCTCCCAGCCTTACAGACACCCTTTTCTGTCCCCAAGAGACACAGCATCCCCATCTCATGGTCTCTGGAGACCCTTGCCACCTTATCAACTCTCCTTAGGCCAGTGGTTCTTAAAGAGGGGTCCCGGGACCAGCAGCATCACCATCACCTGGTGTTAGAACCAGATCCTTGAGCCCCACTCGGACCTGCTGAATCAGAAGCCCTGGGGTGGGGTCCAGAGCTCCATACTTTAACAAGTCCCCGGGCGACTTGGTGCTCCCTCGTTTGTAATCCGCTGCCTCGCTGCCTCGGTGTTCCGTGGGCTGTGGCCACAGGAGGTGGGCGTGAGGGGAGAGTCACAGAGAGGCCCGAGGGGAAACCGCCCACCCGCAGGTACTTCCTCAGAGCCACGTGCACCCTGCCAGGGCCACCCTGTGCGGAAGTCTGCTTGCTTTATGAATCTGAAGGAATCAACGCATGATGAGCAGGCAGTGACAGGGAAAAGATGGGCCAACGTCAAACGTCTAAAACGTTCAGGAGAGTAAATTACCTGGAGGAGCAGGCAGTCCGCCTCGTACCCGCCGAGCCCTTGCCGGAAGGCTGTCTGTGGATTCCTGCTCTTCTCTTTTGCCACGAGGGTGTTGGGACGTCCCATTTATGTTTATCACAGGTGGTCCTCTCTCGCTCTCCATGCAGAGCATGGAGACTAAGGGTTCTGAAATCAGACCGAGGCGCAAATCCCTTCTGCGAGCCTGCCAGACAGGCGGCCTGTGCTCCGAGAACGGGGTTGGCGCTTGGTACGTGATTGGCGTGTCACGAAGGACGATCACTAGCCTGCCTCTGCTTCTTCATCTGTAGGATGGGCGTAAGAACAACAGCTCCCTGCCTAAGTTGCCCTGAGGAGGAAACGCAGTGACGAGTGCCAAGGGGGCTCAACAGCTGTTAGCTCTCAAACCAGGATTCTTGGGAGGTGGAGGGATGCGATGAATTTAGGAATCTACATCGCTCATCAGCTCTGTGATCTCAGGCAAATTACTCCGCCCCCTGCCTCTATCTCGAAGGCGGTGGTGAAGATTAGCTCGCCCATGGTGGATTCATCCACCTCCAGTACTGACAACCGTGCTTGGCACAGAGTAAGCCCAGAGTACCGTTTGTTTTAATTTTTTTTTGAAAACCCACAAGGGCACCTGACAAGGGGATCTATGTTGGGGGCAAAACAAGATCTAAAGGTGAGGGTCTCCTTTCCTGATTCCTCATGGTCCTGAGACCCACGGGAGAGATTTGATTGGAATGAATATATTTCATGGGACATTCTGGAAATGCGGAGGGTTCCATCAGTAAGGATTTTTTGAGTAGGACATTAAAACAAAAATGTTCTGGAAAAGTTGTGTGTGTGTGTGTTTCCAAACTGTCCATGCTGAACAGAGAGAAGCACTAGAATATTCAGCATGGCATCCAGCCTTTGGTGAAGGAGGTCCCTGGAAGGATTGGTTACAGAGGATGGTTCAGGAAGCATGGAGCTCAGTCCTCTTTGGGGTTCTAGGACCTTAGAGGGGGTACCAGAGGGGATCAGGGCATAGGACTGGGAAGCCAGGAAAAATCAGGGATTCACGTGTCCAGAGCGGAGGGCCAGGAGAGGCTCGGGGTGACTGCAGGGTGGGCTGTAGTCTGGGAGAGAATGTGAAGTTGGAGATCCTTAGATGTGATAGAAGGAGGAATGTTGTTAAGGGGTGTGTGTGTGCGTGTGTGTGTGTGTGTGTGTGTGTGTGTGTGTGTGCATGTGCTTTCCTGCACACGTGCAACAAACATCTGAGAACCCTTGACAGAATATTTAGGAATAAGTGAGCTGCCATAGCTCTTAAATTCTCATTTTTTACTTGGCCGGCAAGTTCAGTTCCTTCACGGAGATTTTTACAACAGCAGAAGCAGAATTGCCTCGGGACGCTGGGTACAGACGAAGGAAGAAATCATTGCCCTCGAGCTCTCGGCCTCTGTCCAGGCTGGTTTCCTTGCCCTGAGGAACTTGTGGAGACCAGCACATGGTCACAGGCTGCTGGTGCCCGGTCCAGGGGCGGGGGGCAGGGGAGCGGGAAGGAGGTGTTCCTCCCCGTGTTTGAGTCCCCGGCAGCTGAGTGCAGGGGTGCTGGGACGGGGCTCCTGTGCGGGATGCGCGGTGAGAGCGGATGCTGTGGCGTGGCCTCCCCACTCCCTTCTTCCAGCTGAAGCTGGGGCATCTGTTCTCGCCAACAAGTCTCCGTCCAGCTCTTTGTCTGGACGCAGGCTGTTGCCTCCCTTCTCCCTTCTCTGGGCCTTGTCGGCTTTCCCTGCAAGGCTCTTCTTGACGCGATTTGGGACTGGAGGGGTGCAGTCTGGGACTGGGGGAGCATTGCACACGTGCCCGTGCCCGCCGCGGTCATGCTCAGACAGCGCTGTGGCATACGGGTCCGGTCATCTCCCTGGCTGCTGGTGGGGTCAGAGGTGAGGACCACTCCTGGTACAGCTGTCCTCTTCCAGTGCAAAATTCCAGGTTAGAGGAGACCCGTGAAGTCTTCCTGTTCCGAGGCTCACGTGCTTCCTGGACGGGAGAATGTTCCTAGGCTCCAGCAAGGGAGCTAAGCACGGAGGCTGATTGGGAGATTGCGGGGTTCACAGATGTGGCCAAAGCATTTGGCTGACCTGAGACTATTCTCTAATAAATGGGAGGCTTGTGAGAAATAAGCAGATCGGTGTTAATTATGGATTGATCTGGCACCTCTCTTTCCTCAGGCTCTGAAACCAAGGGTAGAACCCCTTCTCCTCCATCCTTCCCACAAATCAGGCATTTGGTTACGTGCAATTCAGGAACGGTGGTAGCATGATGGGCAGGCTCAGGAATTTGGAGAAAGCTCCCTTGGTCTGCCTCAAATGGTGCAAAATGGACAACAGACAGGCCATTTATTTTCATACGTATATATAATATATATACTAATCATATGTATATGCAACATATATGTTATATGTATCATACATATATGTATGTTAATTTAAGTTAAATTAATTTAAGTTCTAGTTAGTTAACGTACAGCGCAATATTGGTTTCCAGAGTAGAAATCAGTGACTTATCACTTAAATACGACACCCAGTGCTCATCACAAGTGCCTCCCTTAATCCCCATCACCCGCCCAGCCCACCCCCCACCCACCTCCCTCCATCGGCCCTCAGCTTGTTCTTTGTCAGAAACAGTCTCTTGTGGTTTGCTTTGCTCTATTCTCTTTCCCCCCTTCCCATGTGCTCATCTGTTTTGTTTCTTAAATCCCACATATGAGTGAAGTCATATGGCCTTTGTCTTTCTTTGATTGACTTATTTCGCTTAGCATAGTACATTTCTAGCTCCATCCATGTCACTGCAAATGGTAAGATTTCATTCTTTTTGATGGCTGAGTGATAGCCATGCCACATCACCTTTATCCATTCATCAGTCGATGGACATTCGGGCTCTTTCTATGGTTTCGCTATTGGTGATAATGCAAGCCATCTGTTAATGGTACGTTCACTATAAATAGGACTTTCTCTAGACTCCTTCACAGAAAGCATCACTTTCTCCACAGGTAGCGAAGAAGATTTGCTGGTGTATGCTTAATGAGCCATAATTATAATGACGGTGAGGACTTAGCCAGTGAATGAATGAATGAATAAGTGAATGAATTGTTGTTATTTTTCAGGGTGTGGTAGGCTTGGGGCAGGAGTAGACGTAATATAATGCAGTGGTTCTCAGAGGGACCAGCAGCATCAGAATCATCTGAAAAGTTGGTAGAAATGCAAATTGGCAAGACCTTCCCCAAACTTCCTGACTCAGAATCTCTGGGGTGAGGACCAATAATCTAGGTCTATTAAAAAAATATATATTTTTTGGAAAAAAAATTTTTTAAGACTTTTAACTCTTCATTTTGAAACAGTTTAAGATTTACCCCCAAAAGTAACAAAACAGTACAAAGAACCTCCTTGTACCCATCACCCAGCTTCCCCAAATGTTAGCATCTTACATACACACAATCCCATGTGCAGAAGCAGGATATTAACACCGACACTGCTATCTCATCTACAGACTTTATTCTTTATTTATTTATTTATTTTTTTAAATTTTTTTTCAACGTTTATTTATTTTTGGGACAGAGAGAGACAGAGCATGAACGGGGGAGGGGCAGAGAGAGAGGGAGACACAGAATCGGAAACAGGCTCCAGGCTCCGAGCCATCAGCCCAGAGCCCGACGCGGGGCACGAACTCACGCGAGATCACGCAAGATCTCGCGAGAGCGTGCCCTGGCTGAAGTCGGACGCTTAACCGACTGCGCCACCCAGGCGCCCCTTTATTCTTTATTTTTGTCCACTGGTGTCCTTTTTTCTCTAGGACCCAAAGCAGGGTCATGACACTGCACGTTATGCTACGTCACCTTATTCTCTTTCAGTCTCTGGGTTCCTCAGTCTGTCTTTGTCTTTCCTGAGCTGGACACTCTTGAAGAATACTCACTAGTTATTTTGTGGGCTTCCCCAGTTTGGGTTTGTCTGCTCTCGTCTTCCAATTAAATATGGGTTAATGCATTTTTTGGCATGAACACCACAGAAATGATGCTGTGTCCTTTCAGGACATCATATCAGAGGGCACATCTATGCTTCTTATTACCAGTGACATTAACTTGGTCGACATCGTGTCTGCTACAGTTCTCCACTGCAAAGTGGTTTTTTTATTATTTAAACAAAGTTTTTTTTTTTTTTTTTTTTTTTTTTTTTTTAAATATTTGAGAAGAGAGAGAGAGAGAGAGAGAGAGAGAGAGGTAGGGAGGGAGACACAGAATCCGAAGCAGGCTCCAGGCTCTGAGGGATCAGCCCGGAACCCGACGCAGGGCTCAAACCTAGGAACCATGAGATCATGAAGTGAGCCGAAGTCAGATGATTAATCAACTGAGCCACCCGGGCGCCCTGCAAAGTGATTTTTTTCTCCCTTTGTAACTAAACGAGTATAATATTTTGAAACTTTGTAAGTGTCTTGTTTCTTATCACGCGTTCACACATTAATTTTAGCATTCATTGATGGTTCTTGCCTGAAACGGTTATTAACAGTGGTTATTTGTCAGTGGTAATTTTTCTAATTCCGTCATTCCTTCTGTATTTATTAAGTGGAATTCTACTGTAAGGAAGAGCTTTCTCTTCCTCCCCATTCATTCAGTTATTTATTTATATTGGTATGGACTCATGGGTATTTATTTTGTCCTATGACTTATGATGCATGTAGTTTGCTTGGGCTACCATAAGAGAGTATCACAGACTGGACGGCTTAAACAAGAGACATTTATTTCCTCCCAAGCCTGGAGGTTAGGCGTCCACCAAGTTGATGCCATCTGAGGCCTCTCTCTTCCTTGGCTTGCAGACAGGTGTCTTCTTTTTTTCTCTTTAATTTTTTTTAATGTTTATTTATTTTTGAGAGACAGAGACCGTGCACGAAGCGGGGAGGGACACACAGAGAGAGGGACACACAGAATCCGAAGCAGGCCCAGGCTCTGAGCTGTCAGCACGGAGCCCGACACAGGGCTTGAACCCATGAACCACGAGATAATGACCTGAGCCGAAGTTGGACGCTCACCCGCCTGAGCCCCCCAGGAGCCCGCAGATGGGTGTTTTCTTTCTGTATCTCTACGTGGTCTTCCTTCCATGTGTGTCTGTGTCCTCATATCCTCTCTTAGAAGGACACCAGCCGTACTGGATTAGCTTCCACCTTAATGACTTTATTTTAACTTAATTACCTCTTTAAAGACCCTGTCTCTCCGTGCAGTCATGTTCTGAAGAACTGGAGATTAGGATCTCAACCATATGGATTTTGGGTGGATATAATTCAGCCCATAACAATCCATGACTGTCCTTATTTATATTATTGCTTAAACTGTCCCAAATTTGGTCATTGGAAGCTCCTTCACCTTGGCTCCTGTGTTCTTTTCCCGTGCCCCCATTAATTTGGAGCACTTTCTTACTTTCCAGTACTATGAGATATTCCAGGTACATCTTATGCTTCCTCTGACCCAGGCCTGAAATGATGCATTTCTCCAGGAAGCCCTCATTCCTTTGATTGGAGAAAGATAGTGCTCACGCCCTAGATGGTCCTATTCCCTGCTAGAATTTGAGAATCTCTGATAGAGTGGTTACGAGCTCAGACTTGGATTTGAATTCAGCATCCCTCTTGGATGAGTGAGATGCTGTTCCTTCCTTAACCTCTGTAAGCTTGTTTCTGTTTCTGTTAAATGGGGATAGTGCTCTCCACCTGCTAGGATGCTTGTAAGGATCGAGCGATGTGTGACATAGAGCATGTAGCTCCGCCCCTGGCTCATAATCAATGTCTAATAATGACGAGCTTTCACTGTTAGGTGAGCCATTTCTAGAGGCAAAGGTCCAGTAGCACATTTTCATCCGGGGGTCGGGCAGGGTCATAGAGGGATTCCCAGGAACGTCTCCGGGACCTGGCAGAATAAACTCCACGTGTCAGTTTGAGGAATTCAGTCTTGGGGTCATAGCTGCTGGCATTTTCAGGGAAGGTCCGGGGAAGCCCACCCGTGCAGCATTTCTTCTTGGCTCTGAGGTACCACCAACACCCCCAGCACTCTGGGTACCCGAAGGACGGAGCATCGTGGGTGAGACGTTGTGTCTCGTTTTAATTTTCCGTCTCATAGGCCCCAGGTGGGCCGGGCCACCTCCCTCGAAGCTAGGAGCTTTCTCTCTCCTTCCTTCCCACTTGGAAGACCACCTCCTGAAGGGGTTGTGTAGTGTGGAGGAGGGGTGGATATGCCAAGGATTTTAGTTTTCAGTTGCCGGGTGCCGGGGGAATCATGGCGAATGGGGGAGGTCGTAGCTATTAGGAAGCTAGAGTGCATCTGTTCTGGTTTTTATTACACTTGTTAATTATCTCTTTGTCTTTTTTGCAGAGAGCACGGATAACTTTGTCTCTAGTAAGTCTGCTTTACTTTCTGCTTTGGAACTGATTCATTCTGATACTTTCCAGTAATTATTGAATCCACCTAGCCCTCTTTCCTATTCCACGGCCACCCCCAGACCCCTGGCAGCTGAGAGCATCTGAGTGAGTTGTGAAGGTCAGCCGGAGAGTAGAAATACCTCTTAGGAAGCTCCAGGTGCACACCTCTTGGGCTCTTGGCCTCAGTTTCCCCCAGGGAGTTCTCTGAGGTCTGAGCCTGTTGTGGGTCTCCCTGCCTGGATGGGAAGGAGGGATGTGGGGTTTCATATTCCCGGGTAAGACCCCTGTTGGTCAACCCTGTTCTTGTGGAGAGAACGGGGAGCCTCTACACCTGTGTTCCTCACCTGCTCTGAGGACCCCGGACTCTGGCTGGGACTCACCTTGTGAGTGATTTACAAGCTCTCCTGATAGGCTTGTGTGTCCTCAAGTGGAATTGGCGAGGCTCAGTTTATAAGCAGTTTGGGGCTAGGACTAGACAATCCTAAAAGAATGTGGTGTTTTGCTCACTGGCTGTGGGGAAACCTGTATTTATTGCTTTTCCTTTTGTCCCCTGTGGGAGAGCAGCGGGCACTCATTTCTGCCCTGTGTGTGGGCTGAGATAGTGGACGGTCCTACCGAGCGCACCCCTTACTGTTCGGCACAGACGTGAAGATCGTCTGTGATTCCTTTATTTGTCCTTGGTCTGAGAGGACTTGTCATCTCACAGAATGTCCCTCCAGAGATTTCTGAATTGGGGCCGTTTCGTGGCCAGGAGGTGATTTGAGACAGAGGACAAATGGACACTTGGCTTCCCGTCCAGGCTTTGCTGGGAAAAGGTGGTGCATCCTGGTCAGATGGACCTTTTTGCGTCTTACCCTGAGCTGCCATTGTCCTGACCTCTGCGGTAGGGGAGCGGACACTGGGCTGTCCTTGGAGCCACGGGCCTCCTGGGTCTTGCTGAGGAGTAAAGAGAGAGAGAGAGAGAGAGAGGGAGGGGCACTGGGGAGCCCGGGACAGGAGCAGGAGAGCCCACAAGAGAGGGTAGCCGAGCATCAGCACCAGCTGCCATCACCACCAAATGTGCCCAATGCAGACCCTGGCCGGGATCCCAAACCATTTTTTCTACCCCTTTGTACCTAATAGTTCATGGCCCACGTGCCCCAGGTGACATTACTTGTTCTGGAATGGGGGCAGGGGGATGGCAGTGAGGGTACTTTATTCCTTGCAGAGTTTGCCCTTGAGCTGTCAGCACCAGCTAGGCAGCCGAAGGGGCCTGGTCCCTGGGGACTCCTGCAAAGCCTGAGGAGGTCCGACAGTCAGAGTCTGGCTTGAAGGGGATGTTCTCCAGCAGGAACTCCTGAGGGGTCCTTGCGATTCGGGCGGGGACTGTGGCTGAGACCAGTGAGAGCCAACCTCCTCCTCCTCTTCTGTTTGGTTTTCAGTCTACGATGTGAGCCCCACGCCCATCACTGTGACCCACAAACCGGAGGAAGACACTTTTGGGGTGAGTCACTTTTTGATCAAGGGGAAGGTGGTCACTAAGGAAGTTGTTTTCAGACTTGGTTTTAGTAGCTGACGTTTTACCTTGCTTGCAGCCTGTGTATACAGCAGAGAAAAGAACAAAACTGTGATGAATGACCTCCTTTCAGGTGTTTGAAACCTGCCTTGTTTGATGAGAATAAGTCATTGTTTGAGGAAGTCTTTGAGGATCCGCTGTAGGCCCTAGGGCTCGGAAGAGAACGGTTTGAAAATCCCCGCTCTGTTAGGAGCCTGGATGGGCCTGATTTGAAGGGGACGCTAGCCACACAAGTCTCCTACGAAAGTCGAAGTTGCTCAGAGCGTATCCTTGGGTGGGTTTTTCAAGCCCCCCACCTCCCCTGCCTGACTCTCAGAGCCAGAGATTTCTCTGGGGAGGAGAGCAAAGGGGGCTTTTTTAGAGTCCAGATCTCCTAGAACGTTCTGGATAAGAATATTCTGTAAAGAATGTCAGTGTGAAGGTACAGAGTTTTTTTGTTTGTTTGTTTTTTGCTTTTTTTTTTGTTGTTGTTGTTCATTAAAATAACAAACAGGGGCACCTGAGTGGCTCAGTCGGTTAAGTGTCTGACTCTGGATTTCAGCTCAGGTTATGATCTCACAGTTCATGAGTTCAAGCCCCACCTTGGATTCTGGGCGGGCATTATGGAGCCTGCTTGGGATTCTCTCTTTACCTCTCTCTCTGCCCCTTCCCTGCTTGTGCTCCTTTCTCTCCCTCTCTCTCTTTCGAAATAAATAAACTTAAAAAAAAAACAAAACAAAAAGAAATGACAACAAACAATAGACAAACCCCTCTGAAACCGCCCTTGCACTGCAGATGATGGCTCCCAGATGAGAGGCTGAATCATGGAATGTTCTCTCATCCAGTTGGGGAATTAATTTTCTTTTAATGTGCTGAACGTCTCATGAATTACTGCTTCTAAAGACTTCACTCAAGTCTTTACCAAGTCCTGAATGGGCTGCAGCTGTGCCTGCGGTGGGACTGCTTTCACTTGGGCGCATGTGGGTTTCCCGTGACTGTTCTCAACCGTCTGCTTTTGGCCCCTCCAGGTATCCATAGCTGTTGGACTTGCTGCTTTTGCCTGCGTCCTGTTGGTGGTTCTCTTCATCATGATCAACAAGTACGGTCGACGGTCCAAATTTGGAATGAAGGGTAAGGTGGGATTTTCATTTGCAAGGGTCTCGTGGGGGAACCGTGGTTCCTTTTGATCAAAAGATGCTGTTTTAATTCTCCCTTCGCTCTCCAGGAGGGCCTGTCTGGTAGTGTGCTTAAGTGGTCCTGGTGGAGACGCCTGTCTACACCTTATTATTGGTAGTGATGGATTGGAAGCTGTGTTGGTGTCTGCGGGGGCCAGACTGTGGGCTGCCTGGTTTTGCCGTGATGGCCGGAAGCATCGCATAGCTGGGCTGCTGCGTGAGGGTAGTTTGTGAAGGCCGTTGGTAAGAAAAAGGACTCCTTGTTGGAGTAACCTGGTTTCTCTCTTGCCACACTTGCCTTGGATTTGGGATGAGAAGGTACCAGCACGGCTAGATGTGGGGCGGTGGACCCTGGCTTTGGGAGGTTGCCCGTGCAATGGCATTTCCGCACGTAGCTCTACACAGGGTCCCGGAACGGATGCCAATATCAACATGGTTGCTGAATCTGCTGGCCAGCTTCCACAACGCCGAGGACTCGGCCCGTTATGGCCAGGGTGGGCTGTGCGCTGAGGCTTTTCCACCAAGGCTCAGGGTGGGGGAGTGGCACAAAAGGGGTTAACACGGTGACTTAGCATCCATCTGCCCAGTCCCAGGGATGGATCAGACCAGATGGCTCCAGGGAGGCTGGGTACCAGTTCTCAAGCAGAAACTTGAATTTCAGGACCTCTTCCCCTCTGGGGTTTCCTTTTATGGCTGGTGTCAGACGAGAGGTAGGTAGGGAAGGATGATGAAAAGGTCCAACCAGCTGGCAGGTTGCTAGCTAGGATCCAGGTTGGGGCTTTCTGGTGAGAGTATGGCATCCCCAGAGATGAATTTCTGCAGCTTCTACACATGAACTGGTATCTGTGGTGAGGGTCCTGACCTCGGGACTCTGGGACTGAAGGAGGGCACAAGAATGAGATCTCCAGGGACTGTGGTCCCCTGAACTCATGCACATGTTTGAGTGTACGTGGCGGTGGGGTCGCAGGGGGTTTGGAACGGAACTAGTCCCCCTCTTCTGTTACACTCTCAAAATATCCTGTGACTCCCCCAGAAGTTGAGAATGCTGATACTCAGCAAAAGATACCTATGGAAAAATAGAACGATGGAAAAGAGGAGGGCAGACTACGGGCTTCTTAGAAGCTCCCTGCCTCTGTACTCTCTTTCTGTTCTTGATTAAGCCGAACAGGTCACAGCGAGGCAAGCCAGGTTTTCTTGAATCATACGAAATCTTTTGACCCGGAGAAATACGTGTGCAGACCAGTTATAAAGAGGGGATGGAAGTTTGACCCAAAGCCCCATGACTTCAGCATGATCAGACCACTGGGAGGCACCTTGACTGGAGATGCTTCATCTGCGCGTGCTCCCCTGTGCCAGACAGGGCTTCACAGAGGTGGAGGATGAAAAGCACTGAGTGAGCCCCGAGCCTTCGATCTTGGTGTAACCCTCGGGCCCCTGGCTTTGGGGCCCCTGCATAGACTGTTGCTTGTGCAAAGTTTTCCGATCGTGGGAGGAACCTTCTTCCTAGCTGTTTCTCCTTCCACCTGAGAAGACATCAGGGCCTTGACCAAAGGGAAGAATGGGGCATTTCTGCTCCTCGCCGAGGAGGCACGCCACCAGCTGAGACCCTGTGACATGCTTGGCAGCACTGAGAGAGCAGATTTTTCCTATTAATTGTCATCCGGTTTCTGGAACAGTGTGTCCCCATGTCGGATGGATTAGGCAGCATCCAGGGCGGTGCCTTCCCCTCAGCTGTCCTCGGAGCCTCTCTCTCAGCCCCCGCTCCCCTCTCCCGGGCTGAGCTGCCTCCTTGGCCCTGGATGGCCCAGGAGAACACGTCCCCATAGGTGGGAGGGGCGTGTCCCCTACTTGAGAGCCAGGCAGCCTGAGGAAGGTAGGCTGTACTTGGAGGCCAGATGTGGGGGTGGGTCCCAGGCTGACCTTGTTGAGGATTAAGCCTGCATGTGTCTGCTCTCATTACTCCTGATTACTTGGGTTTGGGCCCCATTTTAGGATGAGTGAGTAGATGCCCCAGGATGCATGCACCCTGATCTTTTGTTGCTAGTAGGCATCCCGGTCCGGGAAAGAGAGTGAAGGTGTGGGTACCAGGAGCTCCCCACTCCACCTCTTGATATCCACCCCATGCTCAGCTTTGAATGTTCAAATCTCAGTCAGACTCTGCAGATGCCATTCAATTGCTCTTTGTTTTTAGCAGTTACTTAACCCCTTGCAGCATCTTTTGCCTTATTGGGTTGCTGAGTGTTGAGATTTACGTGTAATTGGCATATAAAAGGGGTTCTGGGGCTGTAATTTCCCCCCTTCTTTTCTTCATGTATAAGCCTTTCCTGGCTCCTTTTATTGTCCTTCTAAGAAGGGCCGTCCTCTTGACTCAGTCATGCCCCCCTTTGTCACACGCAGTATTTAGTAAGGATGCTTTTATTCTGTACTAATCCCAGTGCCGTGTCATTCCTTGGCACACACATCATCTGACTGTCCTGCTGGACCAGAAACCACAGATCACTCGGCCCGGGATGCCTGAAAGTTCGCACAATATCTGACAAATGCTTGTTGAACTTGAAATAGATGACCGTATAGTTAATCATAAAAGAAAGCACAGCGTGTGTGTAACTCAGTAATGGGCTAATAAGGGCGACTTTGGCAATTGGAGGTGTCAGGGCAGTGGGAGATAGAGTGGGGATAATGGGGGAAACTCAGAAATAACACCCAGTGTCCACACCTGAGGGCCCGGAACACATTGTGTGGACGAGGCTTTCTTCCTTTTGAGAAATAAGAAAAAATACAGAAATGCGAAGGTTGGTACAACAAATACTCGTATTCTGACCACTCAGAATAAGTAACTTTTCCTGTTTTGTTTTTATATTCGCATGTAATGTTTTATCCTTAGAATAAAGGGAGGAGACATTGCTGACCAACGAAATTTGCTTTAGCTCTCGCCTCTGGTCCCATGCCCAAGGCCGAAGGAGTGTCCCCATGGACAGCCACCAACCTGGGCTTCGTGTGTGTCCTTCAGTCCACTGTGTTTCTCCCTCTCCTTGTGTCTCTACCTCTCTTTCTCTGCTGTCTCTGAGCACCTGCCCTCCCCCCTTTGACCCTCTCCCCCACCAGCTCACACCCTGCAGGCTGCCTCCACCCCATGGTGATGCTAGTGGCGAGGTTGGCAACCAGTTCATTTTACACTTCTGTGTGTATATACACATATGCAGATGTATTTTGTTTGTTCTTTTACGGGTCACGAATTGCACCCATAGACATCTAGAAAATGAAAGTGTATATATTTCTTACATCGATCTTATTAATAAACTTAATTTGGACAAGAGAACTTGTACCAAAATAGTTTTAACCGGCATGATGAAAGACTATAACACACCCACGAGTGATCACGTACAGTATGTGATATAAACCAATATATACCGTATAAGAGAAAGTATGCACATACATGTGTGGATTTATGTGTGCATATATGTGTGTACATTTATTTATTTTTTTAATTTTTTTTTAATGTTTGTTTATTTTTGAGACAGAGACAGAGCATGAATGGGGGAGGGTCAGAGAGAGGGAGACACAGAATCCGAAACAGGCTCCAGGCTCCGAGCTGTCAGCCCAGAGCCCGATGCGGGGCTCGAACCCACGGACCGCGAGATCATGACCTGAGCCGAAGTCGGCCGCCTAACCGACTGAGCCACCCAGGCGCCCCATGTGTGTACATTTATAAAACACATTGTGTGTGTGTTTAAAGTTTGTTTATTTTGATAGTGTGCACACATTTGGGGAGGAGAGAGAGAATCCCAAGCAGGCTCCTGTGCTGTCAACGCAGAGCACAACACTGAGCTCGAGCTCATGAGCCGTGAGATCATGACCTGAACCCGAATCCAGAGTCAGACAGTTAACTGACTGAGCCACCCAGGCACCCCAGACACCTCTTTACTTTGATCACCTGCCATCTTGTTCATCAGCACTGGCTTGAGGAAGGGTCACATTCGGGTGGGAGCGCATCTCTTGGAATCACGAAGGTTTTGAAATGATTCTGAGCTAGAGCAGTGGGGGTTTCCTTGGGCTGTTGCTGAAGCCCAGTGTGACTTTAGAGCAGTGGGGGGTGATTGTTTAAGTGTTTGGTATAGTTTGCTTTGGGAACTGGCCTTTAGAACAGAAGTGCCCTCCCCCACCCCCAGCAGGGGCAGGGACCTGGAGGCTCCCTGCTGTGCCAGGGTTTAACTCTTGGATTGCTGGATCCTGGGATGGTTGGGAGAGGCAGGGCAAGGGCCATGTACTGGGAGGTAAACATATACAAACATTTCAGTATTTTAACAAGTAATTGTATTGTGCCAGTGCGCCCTGGGCCTGGAAATGACATGGTTGAGAGTTTACACCAACCTCCCTTTCCCAAAATATTTTTAAACTGGACATCAGAAGACCATGGCTGTGATCTATGGTGCTTAATGGTGTCTGCATTTATGGACGAAGGAGCTGTGGCTCAGAAAAGGAAGTGTTGTGCTCTGGATTCAGGGTGTGGTTAGGCCGAGTTGGGTTTAGGACTCCCGGCTCACAGCCCCAACCACTTTTCATGGCCAGGGAATGACCTAACTCCTTGGTCTTGGCCGCCCCATCGTGAACATCCACAGTGCACCTGCCATCTTCATTTCATATGGTTGTTAGAAAAATGATCAAATAAATGATGCATGTGTGTCTTGAAATAGTAAAATAGGTCCTGTAGTTTTCATATAAGGTATCCTAGTTATTTAACAGAGAAAGAAGCAAGTGTGTGGGTTTTTGTAGCCAGTATTTGGCCTCTTCCCTCATGACTACCTTCCAAGTCCTTACACACTTCTATACCAGGGACGCTGTAGTGGTGTAGTTCATACTGTTTGACTTCCTCTTAACTCCCATCGAAGAGACAGAATACTGGTTTCTTAGAGCTGAAACAAACCTTAGACTTACTAGGTGAATGCCCCCATTGTG